AGAACGGGACTTTTTAAAAAACTGTCTTTATGCAAATGCTTGTTGACTACACTAATACATTTTAAATTATTTTGTGTATGAGTCTTTCACCTCCATGTATATGTGTGCCCCAGTGCATGTTTGATGTCCATGAAAGCCAGAAGAACATGTCAGATCTCCTGGAACTAGAGTTACAGACATTTGAGAGCCCTATGTGGGAGCTGGGGGTCAAAGCCAGGTCCTATGCAAGAGCAGCCAGTGTTCTTAACTGCTGAGCTATCTCTCTAACCCCTACATTAATACATTGTTTGAGCTGTTAAATGAATGAGTCAGCTCCTCCTGTGGAGAAGCACTGGTAGCCAGAGCAGACCTCAGGAAATGAAGATATGGCCCCTTGCTTTCTATGTTGCTTGGGGAGGGAGGCATCCAGAAAAGACTATGAGCTTTATCCCATGGGACTTCTCACTCACTTCTACCTACCTACTCACTCCTTCCCAGTCTGGCATACAAAAATGCCTTTTCCTAAAAACTCTTAAGAGGTTGCAAATTTATCAGCATGAAAACAGGATCTTTGCCCACAAATATGCTTGGTTTGTCCCATGTAGTATTGGTTTTTTGTTTGTTTGTTTTATATTTTTGTTATCATTTTGAAAAGTGCTTATTAAAATAATTATTACTTGGCAACATGTAGGATGTAGATATTTCAGATGAAAATCTGGATTTCTATCATCCTTATAAAAACAACTAGTTCTAATAAAGCTTATATTCTCACCTAGCAGCCAGCTGATGGAATCGAGTAGAGTTCTGTCATACCAGGCATGTATTCCTTGCTGACTGCCTTTGTCTCTATGAGGGTTTGACAATGTCATGCATGTACATATGAATTACAGTTATTCTCACCCCTACTTTCTCTTTTCTCCCTCCTATCCATGTCTCCAATCCTTCCTCACTAATCCCTTGCCCACATCCATATCTTTTTGTTTTGCTTTGTGACCTACCACATTTAACCAGAGCCCTCTATATGATCATGGATTTGGAACTGTCCCTTGTAGTTCACTCACCATCATTGGGTGAACATCTGAAGATACTGACTGCTCCTTCCCCAGAGTCTTTTAGTTTTAGATGGGCCCCTCGAGACCCATCAAGCCTTACTGTGGACAAGGTCTGTTCTTGTCCCTGAGCAGTACAGACAACTGTAAAGTCCATGGTTCTGACTGCTGTGTCATGACAAGAAGGTTTTCATTCCCATCCTCCCTGCTTTCCACTCTCACAGTCTGTAAGCCTTGGAGGTAGTGATATAAATGAGCTCAGCTCTTTCTTTTTCTCGGCACCTTGAGTAGCCAAGAGTTTCTGCATTCACCACCATTTATTGTAAAGAAGAGCTTCTTCCCTAAGGTAGTGTTTATCTGTGGATATTAACATCGATGATTAGAAGGCAGTTAGAGGCCTTGTAAAGTTAGCTATGTGAGCCCATGGCCTCTCCAGCTGTGGATTTTTAAACCTGATTTTCAGTACCATGATTGAAATATCTTGGAGAGGGAGCCTGAAATCCAATCAGAGCAGTTTGCCCCCTATCCAGTGCTGCCACTGTTGCAGCAGTATAGCCCCTTCCTTGCCAGAATTGAGTAAAATTTAAGCCCTGCCTTTAGAGGTCGAAGCTTTCATATAGCTAAGTTCTCATGGAGTTCTTTTTTTGTTAAGTGATGCTAACATTGACCAGAAACAGCAATAGTTAAAAGAGTAAAAAGAACTAAAATGTGGTTCAACTCTGCTCATCCCTTTTAGTATGCCATAATCCTTCTGATGTTGAGCCGTACCTTGCCAGTTCATGTGATAGGCTTAAAAAAGAAAATCAGGGTTAGTATCCATAGGAGTTCAGACACTTGACAACTAATTGGAATATATAACTAATCACAGGACTGGAATGATGGGAGAAGGGAGGAAAGAAGAGGTAAATAAATGGTTATGACCTTCCCTCCAAAGGTCCACCACGGTTAGTATTAAACAAAGGTGACCTCAGCATTTCATAGTTACCATTGGAACCTGAAAAGCTGAGTCTGGAGTGCTGGGTATCGGTGTTAGGTATGTGTTCATCCCAGAGTATCCAGCCTAATGCCATTGTTGTTGTGGTGACATGTTTCTTTCCTTTTGGGTGGGAAGCTGTATGAGGCTAGATGGAGGGGACAGAGGTCACATCTGCCTTCTGCTACTATGTGTTGGCATTTTTCTCATGGGAGACTGGCACAGTTCGTTGTCCTGGCTTGTGTTTTGTGTGGTTTTGTTTACATTCCTCTGAGTATCACAAGGGAAAGAAATGAATCCTGAGTCCCTAGGGTTACTTGTGTTTTCTACATGGATCGGGGAGGGGCCCCGTTCTTTGAGAATGAGAATGTTGCTTTCATGCTCAGATAACAGAGGACTTTGTTACTTGGGAGATAACCTCAAAGTCATTTTGGCAGTCAGGAGACTCGAGAGAAGCTTCTAGAAAATGGACACCATCCCACCAATGCGTGCCATTAGTCCCAGCACTCTGGAGGCAGAGGCAGGGGATCTCATGAGTTTGAGGCCATCCTGGTCTACAGAGTGAGTTCCAGGGCAACTAGAGTACACAGAGAAACCCTGTCTCAAAAAGAAACAAACAAACAAAGAAAAGAACTTTTCTGCTCAACCTAGGAGTCACAACACCACAAGGCTCACCAGTGTGTCCTGACACTTTCCTTAGGTCGGTGATTGTTTGTGCTACTGTCATTGTTTTCTGAAAAGTCTACAGGTGTGGTTCTTCAAATCACATCTCTGTCAGTGTGAGACACCTGCTTTCTAGTGACAACTTGAGTGGGACCAACATAGCTTATGTGTCTACCTCCACTTGCACTTTCCTGAAGGCCCGATTCTTTGACTTGATAGGAGCTGTAACTATTGTGTACCTTTCTCCGTCTCAAAGGCTGGATGTTAGGAAATAGAAAGAGCCATCTGCTTGTGCAGATGACAGGGACACTGCATTTCCATACCTCTCTTCTCAGAAGCCTTGTTTCAGTTCTCTTTGTTCATAAGTTTGGGGAAATACAGTGGCTTATTTAGCAATTTTATGATGGCCTCTAATTAGAGGCCTCTTTGTCTCACCTTTAAAAGGGAGAGTACAGAGCAGTGTCTGAGCAGGTACCGAGTGAGCCCAGTGTACCAAGGGCACCTGGGGAACTTTACATGTTATCTAAGGTAAGGCCAGCTCTATCTTTAAAGTTTCCCAAGTGATTCTCATATGTAGTCAAGACTAGGAATAAGTGAGCAAGCTACATGTTTGCGGGCCACCCCAGAGTTCCAGAAGCAGTGTAGAGGACTACCTGGAAACAAGTGGGTGGAGCAAACAGAAGGGTCTCTAGGTCCCAGTGTCTTCTGCTTGCCCTATTCCCACCTTTTTCCCTGAGGAATTCTGCGTCATTCTGTCTGGTGCAGTTTACTGGTGGAAACAGGGGTTTTCTTGGTTTGTTCATTTGCCTTTTTAGGGACAAGGAAGGGGCATGGTAGGGATTTAATGCATGGCCTCACACCTAGTTCCAGCAAATGCTGTAGCCCAGTTCCCTTTAAACCTTGCAAGTTACTCAGTCTGGCTGAATTTACACTCCTCCCTTCTCAGCCCCAAGCAAGAATCTTAGGTATGCACCATTAAGTCCTACAAAACAGATTTTCTTTTTTTTTTTCAAAATAGATTTTCTTAAACACAGTTCTAGTCACAGGCCCTATCTGAGAACAGCGGCACAAACATCAAATCTAGTTTGCTAAGACTGTGACTGCAGACCCTTCCACAAGAACCTGTGCTCTATAGCCTTTAAAGAATATAGCAAAAGAAAGGGAAATCTAATTTATAGTAAGTGATAGTGACCCATGAGCTAACCCTTAAGACAACAGAACAGTTTCAAATGGAACTGGACGCTGACCATCAGAGGAGCCAATTGATTTCAGTGGCTTTAGTTGGCTCATACAATATTTTTTGCTTCAGTGTACCCCAGGCTCCAACACCTCACAGTTTGTACTGGTTTGCTTATCCTGACCTAGCCCTGCAAGCATTGGTCCTTTATCTAAAAGACCTTAGAAATCATCTATCATCAGTGTGCGTCTGCAGGGTTCTTCCACGCAGATCATTAAAACAACCTATTCTTGGCTGGTATAAGATGGTGTAACTGTAGTCATGTCTTCTCAAGAATGTTTTAAGGTGTTGGTATTTAGCAGACATTGAAAGAACTGAGTTTTATTTCCCCTCAGTAAAAAAAGAAAAGACAGAAATGTGGCCTTTTATTTAAGAGTATAATTGTTTGGTGTTAGCACTTAATAGAACATTTGTAAAAGAAATGCATTGCTGTGAGCACTGTGCTGTGAGCACTGTTCCAGGGCTCTTTACAGAAAGCGAAGTTGCTACATTTGACTCTTGATGGGCTAGTCAGCTCTAATCTAATGAGAAGTTATCTTCTGCCTTACCTTTTGCTGTTTCAATTACTCATTACCTCTGGGGTCAGCCTCACTAATGGACTAATTTTCCTGAGATTATGAAGCGGCATGCTTTCATTTGCAGATTGCAGCCTCTCTGGCATCATTTTTCCAGTTTTTGTTTTTTCCTCTTTTTTTTTTTTTGAACATGTTTGTTTTATGCTGTATCACAAAACGGATTTTTCTCATCTTACTTCTGAAAGTATTTGTCCCCCTACAATTAATGAATAAGATGTGCATCCAAGGATATTTATCCAATGGCACCAACCAAATTTTATATTTTTTTAAAAGCAGCCATGCCTTAAAAAATAGTTGGCAAGTCAGTTTTGATTTTTAAAAAGCTCATTTACCAAAGCAAACTAGTAAAATTAATAATAACAATAACATTCCTATAGCAATTCTATATAATAAAATTACTATTAAAATTATTGCCAGTTTTTGGCCATTATACTCTTTCTTATATAACTTAAAATTTGGACCAGAAAAGTATAGAAAGAGCATAATTCTAAAACATACAGCATAACTTTTTTTTCTTTTTGTAGCATTAATCTTATCACTGGTCATTTAGAGGAACCAATGCCAAACCCTATAGATGAAATGACAGAAGAACAAAAAGAATATGAAGCCATGAAACTTGTCAACATGCTTGATAAACTTTCCAGGTATTGTATTCCCATCCATTTTTTGCTTGGTTTCTAAGAATGTTCTATTTCTTTGTCTCTCTCTCACTGAGAGTTACCATAGAACAACAACTCTGGAATCCATGTCTATTGGAACAGGGAGGCCCAGGCAGCAGCAGCTAGGTGCCACCCATGGCGTTTCTACACGTGCCACTTCTGGGTGTGCGTCACTGAAACATGTCAACACTCAGTGCTGAGCAGAAACTAGAGGTGGCTGTAATATTAACTGACTAACCTCCCTGTCGTCAAAAGAATGCTTTGAGTTAGGGTCAGTAACTTTGCTGCTTCTTGTATTTTTGTTTCAGTCTGTTTTGGTTTTTGTTTGAAACCATGGCGCTTTTTCTCCTTTCCTTTTTGATGTGCAAGTTTGCAGTATTGCTTTTTGAGTTGCTGCTGAAACCAAGAATTCTAAAATGCCATATACTCTTCAGGAAGAAGGGAAAAGAAATAGTTTAAATAAAAGACTTTTTTTTAAGCAGGCACTTTTACTAATTAGGGGTTCCAAAAACAACCAGCCCCCCCCCCTTTTGCTTCACACCTCCTTCCTTTCCAAAATAACCAGTTTTGTAAATAATTAAATCAAGACATACTAATCAACAACTAGCTCTTTGGGGGCATTATTAGAAGATGATTCCTGCAAACTCAGATAGGCTGCCTTATTTCCAGTCCTAGGTCATCTTGAGTGAGTGTTTCTTTGTGTTGGTGACAACCACCATGTAAAGGTAAATCTCTTCTGCTCATCTCATTTCACATAACCATGAAGCTGCTATTCATCCATCAAGAGAAATAACAGTTGGAATAGAACAGCTAGAGACTAGCTGTGGGAAGGGAAAGGGCTAACAGGAAAGCATAGGTTCCATTTGTAGCCAGAGGCTTAGCTGAGCTGAGAAATGAATGACTGTGGGTTGGCAGAATTATAGGAGATAAGGCTTTAGCTTTCTGAATGACAGTGATCATGCGTAAAATATCCTTAAAAGTAAGTAGCTTCATTATCTACAAAGTATTGTAGAACTTGATGACTGCTGGATCCTCCTAAATTTTTGTCCTTTCCCAGCATTTGTCCTGTTTGCAAATTACATTCTCCTTAATATTTTATATAACAAGTTTTTTCCAAGAAGGAAATTAATAATAGTCATAGAGACTGTTACTAGAGCCAACCTGTATTAAGAAGAATAACAAGCTCTATGTGAATATATAAAAAAATAAACTCTACTATCTAGGAAAAGAGTTCAGTGCTAAAGTCCAGGCCTTAGGTTCAGTCCTCAGCACCCTCCCCTCCAGAAAAAGAATCTATGTAAAAATAAGTTGTATGTGCATGACAGCGTCTAGATGGGTGAAACATGATGGTGTAAGTAAATTAGAATGAAATCAGTAGATCCATCTGGTGGAAGCTAGAAAGGAAATTGCTAGCAAGGACCTGGGTAGAACATGTTAGTGTTTAGCACAGTAGATCACTAAGGTTGTATAAATTTCCTGTTATGACCATAGGAGTTGCTGGCAGTTAGCACAGATGCTATATAGCTGGTTCACATAACCTGCATGAGGAAATGCCCAAGCATAAACAAAAAATTAGGAATAAACTGCCCAAGATACTACAGTGTAATCTGAATTCTTGGCTTATTCATAGATGCATCACCAGTTTCATCAAGTACCCTATTAATTCACATAAAACAATTCTCTTTTTAATCTTGGGGGAATCTACATATTTTAGACATATTTTAGAAGCTACCTACCAATAAACATTAATTCTGAAATGCCCAACTTCCCCTTAAGCATGTCTAAAAGAAAACAAACATTCACCGAGAAGCACCCAGCAGGTGCCTGGCTCCAGCTGAAGGCGGTCCTGATGCTCGCATGTCTAAAACAGAGCCAGTATGTATGTCTGTGTTGGTTTTGATGGAAAGCAAAAGAAATTTGAGCATAGTCTTAAGCTGTGGTGACTTTGCATGGGGTGTGGTGGGTTTCACATTGTCTGCTGTGTGTGGGCTTCCTAACATTCACTCTCACTAACAACAGGGACAGCTGAGTGAAGCCAGCAGTAGGCATTCCAGAGCAACAGTGCACAGAATGGAACCATTCCTTCATGTGTCTTTCATGTTTGTTTTGCTAAATTATTCATTAGTCTTAAGCTTCATCTCTCTTTTCACCTTTTCTTATTTTTGATAAAATAAGAAAAAATAAGATGCCATACAGCCAAGTCGACTTAGGTTCAGTACCGTACAAGGAACATTTACTCAGCAGCACCCGTGGGCAGGGCACTGAGCTAGGAGGGCAAGGGAGATTTGGAGATGAATAAGATTTTTTTTTTTTTTTTTGCTTTTGGAAAACTCATACTCTACCAGGAGAAATGACTGTATAATTAATTTCAGAATGCAAAGTAGAAATGGTGACAAACAAGTTATGTGTTGAGCTGTATGCCCCAAGGAAAAGGAACAGTTCGTTCTGTCTAAATGGTTCAGGGAGTCTTTCCCGGGGAAAGGAAGTGACGTGTGGGCTGCTCTTGAAGTTTAAGAAGTATTCTCGAGAGAAGTGGAAGTGGAGAATTCATTATAGGGAGAGAGACTTAGTCCTTTCAAGTCTTTGGACTTTACTTACTACATCATTCTTCCAAAGAGCTCAAGTGGCATGTTAACCTCACTGACCAGTGGGAAATGCAAGGACCACAGAAATGCCCAAAACATTTCCAAGCAGATAGCTGCTGATAATCCATTTTCTTTTGGCAGTTTACAAACACTCACCCATGCAAGCTCTCTCCAGCTCCAAGATAAAGGGAGACAAGGAGCTCCATTTTGCAGAAGGCCAGGCCTTTGCTCTGCCCACTGTGTTACTATGTCTAAGTTACAGTGTTTGCCAGAACACTTCTTAGTCATCCTATCAGCAGCTTTTCCTGCACCTCAAAAAGAAAGGCATGTGAGCAGAGGATAGGATTGGAGGTGACGTGGCCAAGGCATGGACACTAGACACTTCCTTTTTTCATCCATAGGAGAGCAGATGTGAAGGACCTGCACCAGGATGGTGGTTAGCAACAGTGGCCCGTGCCAAAGCACTTACCAAAGTGATGACTAAGGTTGGTCATGCCAAGTACTATTCCTGAGCCTGGTGTAGGGTATAGATGTTAATGCCGAAAGTGTAAAACCACTCCTGTGAAACTTGAGGTCACATTTCCATCTCACCTTCATGCTAGACACAGCCCTAGGAATTCATGTCCTCAGCATCTTTACCCCAGCGAAGATTTGAAAGGTGGTGAGGAGACTGGTGCTTAGAAGCTTCCCACTGAGTATGGACCAAGTAGCATCCTCAGTGACATTAGGTCATGTCTGTGTTACCTGTCTCTAGTTCTTTGTGGGATGGCAGTGCCTCTGGAGGCTTTCAAAGCTAGAAAATCATCTCAACCCTGTAAATCCTTTCCTGTATAGTTAGTTCAGTGCCTTTTGCCCTATGGTTTCCCAGTGTGCAAGAATGGAAAATGGAAGTAGCTGACCCCTCAGATTTGAAGTCTGGGTTTTGTTTTTGTTTTTGTTTTGTTTTGTTTTGTTTTTTTCTCTGTATAAAATAACCTGCAGGATTCAAGTCTTCAAAGTGCAGTTGTCAGTTCCATTTCTTAGCCAAACATTAGAAATGTGGGCCATGACTGGCTAAGTTAAATAAGTGATAAGGACTTCTTTGATCTAGAATAAGTATAATATTTAGCAGTCAAGCCTGAAGTGTAAGATTACAGAAAACATCATGTGACATTTATAACTTGCCTGCCTCTCCACCTCCTCTCGCCTTAGAATTTGAAAGCAAAAACTAAGCCCCTGCACTCAAGCAGGAGACTAGAATGGTTGTGTGGGTAGGGAGCCCAGGATCCCTGGCCCAGCTGCCTGTGCCTAGCAGCAACACACTCGCACACTGATGATGCCAAGGGCAAGGACATTGTTAATTACAATTTTGGTTCTACTCCTCTAATCCCCTTTATTTCCTTAATTGACACCAGATGGATTGGTCTTATACTCCCTTCTCACTCTAGCACTGTTTATCAAGGCACTTTAAAACACAACAAAAATTGTGTTTTAAATTGCAGATAGAAAGAAAGAAAGAAAGAAAGAAAGAAAGAAAGAAAGAAAGATAGATAGATAGATAGATAGATAGATAATGCCTATTCTGCCACCACTTCCTTCTCTCATCCATTTTCTGGCCACTAACCATGCTTCCCATCTCACCCCATTTTTGCCAGCCATATTGATATATGGGACATGCCTTTCGTAATATTGGCATCAAATATAAGGTTATGGTGATTTACAGCTGAAAAGTAACAGATACATAACTTTTTCCACATAACTAAATTCTATTGCTCATCTTACAAAAATACCAAAATCTGTAATTGCACATGCCTTTGTGAGGAGTTAGTCTAGGATGTTCTTTTCGGGTACATTTCAGAAACACGACCAACCCTTTCAAAGCATTGTAAGACCTGATGTAGGCACCACAGTTTAAAGGTCTTAATGATCTAGGTCAGGAGACACTTTGGATATGGGAACCACTAATTCATGACTACTGCATACATGAAGTGTGATTAATCCAAATTAGGATGTCCTTTAAAGACAAAAAGAGAGCGGAAAGTTTCGCATTAATTATTTAGTAGATTGTGTGTTTAAAATGACCAGGTTTTGTATGGGATTAAATACAATATACCTTTGAAATCAACTTTACCCCACTGTACTTTTCTTTCTGGGTAGTGGGACTTGAATGTCAGCATGCAGCTTCCAGGGTGGTGGCTCCTGTTGTGACATGCAGCACTGTCCTCCGTCACTAAGGTTCCATGAGAAGTCAGTTAAGGGAACTTGGTACTTTGTACACTGACACCATCTTATGAAAGAACGAGGGGATTACTTGGAGAAGCTTGGTCTATGCATCTTTATGTCATAGAGGACTATCTCAGTGGCTAGTCGCCTGAATGGGGTGTCATTTGCCCTTTGTATTCCTTATTGTAAGTCACTGGA